GGGGTGCAACAACAAGGAAGAGAGCACCCACCTGAAATGATGGCAGATAGCAAGGAAGCTAATGCTTCATTTGCTATCTGCTGGTTTTTTTTTGTGTTCTGACAGCTGCTGCCATCAGGACAAAAATAAAAATGGCATAGGAACTAATATCTGGATTGCTATTGGATATTTCAATTTGCATTAGCCAATAGCAAGCTGGCTATTGCACCCGGCCTCTGCTGCTGTCAATCAGCAGTGGTTTACCTGATGGAGAACTTCAGGTCCACCTCTGCTGACTGAATGCAGCAGTGGGCGGGTGCAATAGCTAGTCTGCTATTGGCTATAGCAAATTGAAATAGCCAATAGTAATCCAGCTATTAGTTCCTATGCCATTTTTTTCTTCTGACTGACAGGGGGCCCCGATGCCAGAAAAAAACCAAACCAGACAGCACGGTAAAGTTTACTCTGCTAGATCGAGCAGAGTAAACCTTTCCGGGAGAAAATGTTTCTCTCCCGGGTGTCCGGGAGCCGCTATCTAATAGCGGGAGACTCCCGGAACATCCGGGAGAGTTGAGATGTCTGTGTTAATAGTTGAGGTACGTGAATGCATTTTTAGGATTTAACTCCTGAGTTTAGGGGCATGATTCGTTGTCTGGCTTCTCTTTGCAGAATAAAGCACAAGTTATCCATCAGGAAACAGTAACATTACATTACGAAAGATTTTATTACACAGTCTTTGTATCCTGTGATATCCACAAACCCCTGTGATGTACTGAGCTGAACATTTGATACAATAACACTCTCTCCATATCACACCCCCCAATCCTAATAGGTTGGACTTGATGGACTAATGTCTTTATTCAACCTCAAATACTATGTAACTATGTGACTGCTGCCAAAGTGCAGAGATGATTTGAGGATCTACATCCGAATGATACACATTTAAGATACTTTTTTATTAATAGTTGAGGTACTTGAATTCATTTTTAGGATTATGCTGCTACATACTAAGCTGAGCATTTGATAATAAAACTTAATATGTGGTTTATCTGCACGCACCCATACCCTAGGCCTCTAGACTCTGCCCTGTTGTATACTGTGTCACTGGTCTCCACCCATAGAATGAAGTCACCACTCTATAGAGAACAGTATAAAAACTGCTGCCAAAGTGCAGAGTCAGAAGTGCAGAACCAGAAGAAGAAGAAGGGAAAGACCTGGCATATACAAGGGAAGGTCCAACAACTAAGGAAGATAAAAACATGTATTTCCTCCCAGAGTTCTCCAAGGAAACATGGATTCTCATAATCCTTTTGCTGGCGCTTCTCACTTAGTGAGTACACAGTACTGTTTCATAAGTGACCGGTTACATTTACATACTTTCTACATAAGTGTGCTTTTTATTTGATATCGCTTGTTATTACTGTCCATGTGTTTTAAAAGGCATTTATTATATAAAGGTGTTATTTCCTTTTGTACTCTTTCCCTATATCATAAGCCTGCAGATACACAGGCTCCCGTGTATGGAAAGTGTAAAAGTTATATATTCTTGCTGCCTTTAGCAAACAGATTTGCTGATTCATTTTCAGACTGCATGGCAGTAGAAAGCTATCGACAACAAGAATTATTTTCTTTAGAACTAACTTTAAACAGGTTCACAGTGAAAATAATACTTCTATGTATAAACAATATCCTTCTAAAACAGATCAATATTGCCATAGCCATGTATAAACAGGACCGTCAGCATTGATTATGGGATTAGTATATTGATTATTGTTATAAAACATTTAACGCTTTGACCATATTTTTCTTTTGCATAGGGAAGCACGCTGTATACAGTAGTGAGTATCAGCGATGAGAATGGAGGACAGCGTTGTCTTATATAATAATATTATGGCAACAAGACTATTATTTGCTTAATTACCTGGACTTATGTTCTCCTGTATTTACACAGGGAAGGGAGAGGTAACCCATTAATGTAACCTACTCTTACAGTTGCTATTGCGTCAATTGACAAGGGAAGTCTCAACCTTAGAAACAGGTAAAAGTGCAGGCGTCATCTTGTAATGATCCCTGTAATGTCTGTACAGAGGGAATATATGGAAAGCAGCAGCACGATAGGACAAACTACGCTGCTTCTAGTATAAATACTACTGAAATCCAGTAGACATATTCTATGCAGATGTTCTGTTATTAGACCTGGTATATTAGCTGTGGGACTCATTTGTAAAAACAGGACCAAAAATGAGTGCTATTCGCTATGGCCTTAATCAGATTTTAGTTGTACAGGAAAAATAAGAGCTAGATCCTGATTGGCTGCTAAGAGCAACTCCTTCAGACTGCAATTTTAATAAGTCTCAGCAGGACTTACAATTAGGGGTGAAGTGGTCTAGTCCCTAATAATATCTAAAGCCCAACCCCTACCAAAATCTTTGTTGTAGTTCTGGATATAGTGGGAATCAGTTTTTTATTGCTATGTTGGGGAGATTTCTATTGATTTCTTGTCTGTTCACCGTTAACTACACATGTCATCTGCTCTTTTTCAGCTATGGGATTTGGCCTTACAGAATTTTCAAAAAGTATGGAATACCGGGTCCTAAACCCCTGCCATTTATTGGAACGTTTCTTGAAAACAGACATGTGAGTATACAACCTCTTTGCAGAGAGGTATTGTGTCAACCAGATTTAGAAATCTAATGTTTAAATTCTAACCATTGTGCTTTAAAGTTTGCTTGCAAAAAGGCCCTAGCACCACATTATTAAAGTGAACCTGTGCCCAGACTATGCACACTTAAAGGTCAGCGAGTGCATGATTTAAAGCTCTTTTACTGTTTGTTAAGAATATGTAAAAATACATATGTACAAATATATATGTTTCACATGGACACCATCCATTCCAATCATCAGGGGATCCATCAACAGATCCCCTGCTGAATCGGTGTGGAGCGGATGCCCCTTTTGTGACATGGAAATGGATGTGTGTAACTTTGCATCCCAGTACCTCTAATCGCTTATATACAGGTCCATTTCTTTTTGGACCTAGACAGACTCCCAGGATACATGTCCATTTACATCCACCAGCCCATAGACTAACATTGAGCTTCCAATCAGATCCCCCTTAAAAAAAGTGACCGGCAGATCTAATCCGAATACTCTATTGGGCACAGGTGTACATCAACCCTTTCGCTGCCACCGACGTAAGGCTAACGGCAGAACACAACTGCTTGCAGCTGGCCAGCTCAGTAAGCCTTACGTCGGTGGCTTTTTCCCTTCTGCTATAAGCTTGTGGTCTTCTGTAAAATAATAGCTGTAATCAGCGGCTATTAACAAAAAATCCGGGCGCCCCGCCGGCCGTCGGCATCTGACAGCTTCTCCTCCCCGCCTGGAGCCGCTCCGTGCTTCTCCTGGGATCTCCGCTGTTCACCCCTGCCTGTGTGGGCTGAGAAAGCGGGGATCCAAGGGGAAAATGACAGCTGAAGCAGGCGAGGAGAACAGAGGAGAAAGCGCTGCCACTTCAGGATGGCCAAGTGGTAAAGAGAGAGGAGCCGGTAGGAGAGCAGAGACACTGTCATCCTGTCAGTTTCAGGATGACAGCAGGTCTCTGCGTGGCCGAGCGGAGGATCGGTAAATATCTGTGATATTTACCCATCCTCTGTGTACAGAGCAAACAATGGAGTGATCAGCTGATTACTCCAGTGTTTGTAAACAACAGGGGACACATAGTACTATACAGCCTCACTACAGAGGCTTCTACCCATTTAGAAACTGGTGATAGTAAATATTTTACTATCAACCGTTTCTGAGTGAATGGGAAGCCTCTGTACTGGGTGCTTTACAGTCATTTAGCACAGAGGTGGCAGAAAAAGAGATTGAGGTTTCAAAAGGGAAATGTCGGGGTCAGGTTCAGGCCCCTGATATTTCCCCAAAACCCCCCCAACAGTAAAAAAAAAAGAACAACAAATAAAAATACAGTTTTATATTTTAGATTTAGTCAGAAAAATATATTTTCTGTGCACTGATACTGATTATAGTGTCCTTTTATCAATTTGATAAACATTTGCGCAATTATCGCAGGACCTACAAAATTGGTAGCACCATCTTTTTATTCTAGTGGGCCTTTGCTTTTAGAAAATGTACAGTATGGTTACCTTTTTGATGGTCTTTTACAATCGCTAAAAGCTGCAGTTGAAAATAAAAAAGGGGGCAAATTGCAAAAATGGTGTGGCCAGCTGAGGTTTAAAGTGTTCCGGAGGGCTTGGCAGCGAAATGGTTAAACTTACACTTTAGGTTCTCACACTTTATAGTTGTTGGTGATCCTAAGAAGTATTGTGGAAAGATTGTACAGTGCGTGGCCTGCTGTGGAGTACAACATTTGGCCATTCGTCAAGTAAGCTTTTATAGCACACCATTCTGAACAAACAGATTAACAAATATGTTTTCATTGAACAATAAACTAAAATATGTGTGTGCCAGTATTTCAGAATTGATCATTGGGGACCAGTAGGCTATTGGCCAGCATCTGATCAGCGTCCGTGATCTTGATTTTTCTGACTTGGATAAATGAGAAAATGAATGATAAACCTTTCTGAATAGAACAGGAAACATACAAATCAAATAAAGCAATCAGAGAGATTAGCAATGATTAACCTGAAACATATGAGACCAAACATGGCAGAGTAAATAGGGACCCAGGTGACATATTATATGGTTCATTGGTTGCAAGAATACAATAGATGGAAAAGGTAAAAAGTAGAGGCAACAAGGTGAAGGTGAACTCCCTTGTAGTACTTCCTTGGTGGTAGTAGTAAAACAGAACCCACTTTATATACAGTTCTGAACTCTGAGTTATGTGCAGCCACTTCCCTACTGTAATAAATGAAGCCAATTTGTCTGCGTTTCATGTGAGTGGGATTGGAAGCGTTGGACTTTCCTTATTGGATTATGACTCCATAAAAGAATGGCAGATGTTCAGGAAGAAAGGGATTTGAATATTTCTGTGTAAATATTTACCAAGAGGGTTATTCACAAAAGAGCCGAAGGAACCAGCCATTGTTTCAGCTGATTTTTCTTCGCTTCGGCCGCCTGAGCCCGTCGGGTCAGTCGGATCGAAGGGCTGCTGTACAGGCTATTCACAATAGACCGTACAGCAGCTGAGCCAAATGCATATGCTTTGGCTCAGCTGAGCTGTATGCCGATGCCAGCATCCGTCTTCTGGGTTCCGTCCCTTGCGAGCGTCCGCGTCGCGGGGGGGGGGGGAACGGGGGGAGGAACAGTTAGAGAAAAAAATTGAAAAAAAAGCCCCGAAAAAACAAATAGAACAAAAAAAGGAAGAAAAAAAGGAAAAAATCATACCGCCAGGGAGGTTAAAGCCCAGTTACTGCTTTTGCTGCAATATACTGATTCAAACCTTCAGTACTTTTTTCTGCCACTGAATGTCCTCAGACTGATGGCCAGCATCATTTAACCCAATCCCTCTGAGTCCAGGGCATTCTAGACCCTCCTCAGCCCGTCACTGTACAGTGAAAGGAGAAGCAGCACAGTGATACGCTCATTTCTCTGTCACTCTGCTTTCTCCTCATATCAGCATGCTCCTTGTCATCACATGAACTAATTGTCTGTTTGTACTGCTTATTATTTTTACATTTTGCTCTGCTGTACAAGGACTGCAGGAGGCTAATATCAGCTCAAATGTAGGTACATACGCTGCTTGCATTTAATAAAAAATACATGTTATATGTAGTAATGATTATGATATACATTAATTTTTGTCTTTTATATCTGCCTAGAGTTCAGTTTTACCTTGTTGAGTCTTATGCCTGTAGTACTACAAACCATACATGAGGTGCTGTGTCTCAGTTTTGTAACCTCTTTTGTTACAGGGGGTTTTTGAATTTGACGTGGAATGTTTTAAGAAATATGGCAAAATATGGGGGTAAGTTCCTTCTTTATACAATGCTGATCACAAACAGCTCTGCTTCTACCCACCATGCAGAGAGGGTATCATGTACACTATTTGGGGTCCCGGCCTAAATTTGCTGCTGGACCAATTCTGCCCAAAGACAGATCTCATAGATGGCTACAGGTGTCTATAGACATTAAGGCAGTGGTTCTCAACCCGTGTAACCTCAGGACCCACATTTGTCCTTGGTCAATAAGTCACGACCCAGGTTGCACTGCAATGTTCCATGTTGTGGTACTGCGCTTTCCGGTGCAGGCGATCAAACTGGGGGTGGGAGGTGCGTTTGGGTTGCCATTACAGAAATTGGAGTGGATCCTCAACCTGGGGTCCAGTGTGGGCTGCTGTGCTGTGATGGTGCTCCATCCATATGTGTATTGCTTGTAAAGCTCCCGTGCTCGCCCGTAGAGGTGTAGGGAGCCAGAATTTGATGAGCTGCAGGCAATGCATGTATGTATGGCGCTCCCTTGTGGCCATAGCCCCACCTCAAGTCTACACTCGGCACTGGGCATCATGTTTTTGAATGGCTGCTCGGCGTGAGAACTGACAGTGCTGCGCTAGGGGGAGGCAGAGGATCCTCTCACCTAGAAAAGTGGAAGGCATGTGGCAACCCACTGGACATGGGGTCGCGACCCACTTTTGGGTCACGACCCACCAGTTGAGAACCAAGGCATTAGATGACAGTCTCCTGCAATGAGGACAATCTATGAAAGTCTATGAGGCACCCACAGATGCACCCGACCCGTGCTCACTGGGGACAAAAGCAACTAGAAATCCTCATCTAACTGCATTTCTTTTCACCCCAATATAGCAGCTTATCCAGCTTATACATACATCTATGGGGTCTGTCTTTCCAGTCAGTCACCCTGCGCTCGCTCTTTATCATGTTACAGTGATATTTAAATTGGTCACATATTACTAATAGAAGTCATGACAGAAGTACATGTTTTTCTTCTAAAAATAAAAGTATTTTTATGTTATTACTTTCCTGTCAGATAAATCTGAGATCTTCATAGGAATATTTTACATTTGCACTTGTAGCCAGAAATTGGTCTGCTCAAGGCTACATTTTCTGATTTACTGTTGTGTGGTGAAAAGCTTAAATAGCCTGTGTGGTACAAAGATCTAAGTAGCTGGAGATCAAACTACACACAGAGCTGAAAGAGGGAGGCACAACTGTTTCCTCTCTCCTGGCAGATAGGAAGCCTTTTTGGGTTTTTATTTAGGCAATCAACAAGAAAGCTATCACTTTGCATTAAATGTTTCTTTCTAAAATAAAGAATTTATAAAAGAAAAGGTCTAAAAAAATCTTCTAATGTAATAAACATGGAATGTGCCCAAAAATGATTATACAATCCAGTCCCCAGAGTGTCAAACACAGGTGGATGTCATCCCATGTCATTTCCTGTCTACCTGATGTCTATGTATCTTTAAAGAAGGGCTCCAGGAAAAAATGTATCACCCCTTGTAGTGGGGCTACCCCCACACTGCAAGGGTTAAGTGCTCCTTTATGTCTAGGTTCAAAAATAACAAAGAAATACTCACCTGAAGCTCCAAACCGACATGCTGTCACGGCGTGTGACCCAAAAAATGCACTGTGCTCAAAACGTATATAATAGAAAGACAAAACTCCCCTGAAAAAACAATCTTAACCTTTAAAAAAATATAATAAAGTTTCCGTTGCTCTGTATACATATCTCATTGTACAGCAAAAGTCTTTGAAGTTTTAAAATATTTAATGACCAAATACATGAATAACAGGATACAGCAGTGAATTGAGTTAACAGAAAAGAGAATGAACAATTCTTAAAGTAAACCTGTCACAAAACTGAGCTATTTAAGTGAGCTTTTATGATGAAAAAATGATTACGCAGTGCTTACCTTTATATCAAATAGATAAGTAGATCTTACATCTGTAAATATTGTAGATCATACCCAACAAAAGATCAAGTTGTTGATTATTAGGGTTACAACTAATCGATAAAATCGATAATAATCAATACTGAGAATCATTGTCAATGATTCTCATTATCGATTAGTTGATTCAGCGTACAATGACCACACCACGCCA